CTGCTGCTGCGGCTGCGGCTGCTGCTGCTGCTGCTGCTGCTGCTGCTGCTGCTGCTGCTGCTGCTGCTGCTGCTGGGAGGTTCGGGGCACTTTGGGAGCCGTCTTGGGGCGTCTTGGCGGGCGCTGTGGGGCATGTTGGTGATTTTCGGGGCTCGTTGGGGCCCCTTTCGGTCGCATCGGGTCGTCCTGAGGTCTCTTTGGCCGGCCGAGGCGCCTCCTGGGCATCCTAGGGATTCTGGCAGCCTTCACAATCGCCTCTCGGCCGCCGCAGAGGTTTCATGGCACTCTCTGGTGCCTTCTTGGGTCGTCTTGGGGCACGGGCTCACGTCCTGAAAAGGTTCGGGCAATCCCAAGGGTGGTCTTGCAGTGGCTGGGGAGGTGGGGAAAGGCTCGCGGGTGCGGCCCTGAAGGGGGAAGCATCGCCGCCCTCGCAAAGACGAAGAACGGAGGAGGGGGAGGAGGAGGAGCAGGGGGCAGGGGAGGAGGAGAGGGAGGAGGAGGAGGAGGAGGAGGAGGAGGAGGAGGAGGAGGAGAAGGTCCAGGAGGAGGAAGAGGAGAGAAGAGATAGGAGAGAGAAGAGAGGAGAGAGGAGAGGGGCAAGCTCGGTGCACTCGCGCCACATCTGACATCCTACCCCTCCCTTCCATCCCTTCCCATGGCGCTGTGTTTGTTCTGTCCGCGGACGCGTGCCATAGCCGACATGCGACTCACACAGAAAGACCAATTCGTGTTATGCGCAGTCAGAAACAGGGGAGCTGCATGCACAGGAGGAGGAGGAGGAGGTGGCGGGCGAGCAGGAAGATGAGCGGGAGGAAAAGGATAAGGACGAACAGCACCAGCAGGAACTAACGTGGAAGTATCGGGAGGGAAAGGAGAACCGTGGGAAGGTGGAGGAGGGAAAATGAGGGGGGCGGCAACGATGAATTGAGATTCGGACTCGGAAAAGTGGCCCGCGCTGGGGCGAGACGAACAGCAGCAGCAGGAACTGGAGTGGAAGGAGCGGGAGGGACAGGAGGGCCAGGGGAAGGTGGACGAGGGGAAATGATGGAGGGGAGGAGCACAAAGAAGCAAGATTCGGATCCAGAAAGTGGCCCGCGCTGGGGCGAGATCGCCGTTCCGAACGGCGGGAGCAACGCGCCGATCCGAAAACGAAGCCCGCTGCAACGGGAGCACATTTTGAAGCACCGAGAACAGTGGGATTGCAAAAACAAGCCATAAGAAAACTGAATCGCTAGAACCCGGCGTAAAAACACAGCACGTGCACGGGGCGGGAGATCTCCCAGACAATTTCAGGGAAGGAGGGGGAGCCGTATTCATGTTGTATAAATGTAGAGAAGAGAGGCAGATTAGGTGTGCTGGCGCCAGATCTGACACCCGGTCCCCCCCTCTCATCCCTACCCCTTGCGTTGATAGTGTCTCTCAATCTGCGCACGCGTGCCGCAAGCGACCTGGACCGATGGGATCTGCGGGAGTTGTGAGACTTGCGAGGCGTGTGGGACATGCGAGACCTGCGACCCCTGTGGGACCTGGGGGACTCTTGCGGGACTGATGCGACGTGCGACACCTGTGGGACCTGCGGGATTTGTCGGACCTGTGGGACCTGTGGGACCTGCGAGACCTGCGACCACGTGTGGGACTCGTGGGGCTTCTGAGGCACCCGTGGGACTCGTGGGCCGGCCTGCGGCACCTGTGAGGCCCTCTCGGGACCTGTGAGGCCTACGGGGCCTGCGGTACTTGTTCCAAGCTGTGGGACACGCGAGACCTGCAGGGCCAGGGAGGTGGCGCACGCTCGGGCGGGAGCGCCATTCTCAACGACGGGGGCACCGCGCCGATCCGAAGATGAGGCCCACGCTGCAGCGAGCTTACATGTTTTGAAGCACCGAGCACAATCGGAGCCGAACAGAAACACCTGGAGAAAAAAAACATGTCGGCACAGTCCTGTGCGCAAGAGCCAGGGCGCGGAGGGGGGCGGGAGATACGTCAGGCAATGTCAAGGATTAGCAGCTGCAGAGAGGAGACAGGGTGAGGTGGAGGAGGAGGAGGAGGAGGTGCAGCTCCAAGCACTACCGAGGCCATCAGCCACACGCGCTGGACCCGCGCCGCGGGCTCTTGGCAGTCTGCTGCTGCTCGGCGGTGGAAAGAGAGAGAGAGAGAGGGAGGGAGGAGAGACAAGGACGAGGCAGTAGGAGGAGGAGGAGGAGGAGGAGGAGGGGGAGGGGCCCGAACGGCTGGGGCACCAGTACACCAAGCGCCTGGCCCTCCTGGGATGTTGACGGCGGAGATAGGCGGGTGAGGAGCGGAGTGGTAGCTCGTTTCGCGGCCGTCGTTGATTTGCAGACTTCGTTCAGGCGGTGAGGACAGACGATGCGGACACAGGGGCGTGCTCGTCCCGCCGCTTCGGCATCCCGTGCCGATGTTGCGCTCTGGCCGCTTATCATGCTTGTGTCATGTTCTCCTCTTGTCGGCACGACTCTACGTGCTGCTCGAGCAGCAAGATGGCACCTGGAGAGATGCCCTGGATGCTCGGAGGGCGCGGCGCTTCCTCATCGTGGGATGTCGACCCACTCCATCGTCCTGTGTCTCCGCATTCGGTACGCCTTCCTTGTCTAAGCATTGTCTTGCGGATTACACTTTGACGCTCATCGTGACTGTATGGAGATTCATTATTGCCACTGCTGTCTTCACGGCGATGTTGCACTGCTTCGTGTCATGGCCGACCGTTTTTGCGAAGTAGTTTTCTCTTGCTCGCCCCCAGATTCATGTGCTGTTGACCTCCCCCTCCTGAGATCCATTATCCATTGGTGCCCCCCCGCTCCTCGGACAAGTATTTTGTTTGTTGCTACGTGTACTTGACAAAGCCCAGTGGGGAGGTCACGCTGCCTCATGAACAATCAGCCTGGTACGCCTGGAACCCTTTCTCCGACGACGCCAAGCGCGTGGCTGTGTTCTAGGGCAGCTCTGTAAATGCACACCGACGCCCGCACGAATCCGGATGCTTCTCGGCCAACGGGCACGGGAAGGCTTCCGGACCGAATTCACCCATAGGTTCACTCATATTTGCTCCTTGCACTTCGCTCGTCTTGTCCCTCTGTTCATACAGTACTATCGTAATCCCGTTCGCCAGGCGTGTTCGTTTGCGCACCCCTTCGCAAAGCAGAGCATCAAATTGGCATGCAGTCCGCCGTATACTGCGCGATCCAATTATCCGTCCCAGTGTCCTCCTGAAGGCGTGACTAGGTTCGTCACACTCGGCGTGCTGGGTGCTATGTGTGAGAATAACGAAGTGCATGGCGCAGGTGCCTATCACCTCTGAGAGGTATAGAGGCCCTGCCGTTCTGCGCGCAGTGTTTAGTTACCGTGCGACGCGCGGAGGGTGATTGTGAGCGACGCGCGCCGCAGTCCTCGCACGGAATCGAAATCGGATTCGGCTTGGCGATGGAGGCGAAGGGAGGGCCCCATGGCAAAGAGTCAGTTGGTCGTGAGTTTTCAGTTCCGCTCTCCTCCTCCTCCTCCTCCTCCTCCTCCTCCTCCTCCTCGTCTTCCTCCTCCTCGTCTTCCTCCTCCTCCTCTTCCTCCTCCTCCTCCTCTTCCTCCTCCTCCTCCCGAATCCTGGCCCCCCGAGGTCTCCAGAGGCCCCTGGAGGCTTCCAGAACGGCCCCTGGAGGTGCAAGGAGCGTTGAGAGCGTCCAGGATCACCTCGCGTCGGTCCTCGCTCATCGTGGGCGGAGCTCCCTGGAGCGATGCGGTGCAGCCCTCGCCGTTGCCGCCGGGCGCCGTCGAGTCCCTGCCCTGTGCTTCGTCGTCTCTCTCCATTCGTTGGCCCTCGTCGCTGCGCTTCTCTCGCGCACCGGTCCAGCGCACCCCGGCTGCTCTTCCTCATCTTTCGTCCCCTCCTCCCCTTTTTCGTCCTCCTCCTCCTCCTTGACTGTAGCAGCACCCGCGGCGCAAGCCTGCTGGAACACGATGGGAGTAAGGGGTTTCCGCAGATCCGCCTCCGCAAGTCTTTGGCTACGCTCCGGCTCATTTTCCTCGCAGCATCCCTCGGTTCTTCCTGCTTATGTTCTTTCTCCTCGTTTCCCTCTTCCCCCTTCATCCTTATTCATTGTCCATTTCCGATGATTGCCCACGGACCTCGTCTGAGTAGCGCCGCGATCTCCACTTCTTCAAGTCCTCCTCCCTTTCCTCTCCCCTCTCCCCCGTCTCAGGACAGGACAGGACAGGCGCCGATGTGCGCCCTGGGGGGCGGCCCTCTAAGAGCTCGGCGGGGGCGCCGGAGCACCGAAACAAAGATGTCGTAGCACATGATTACTTTACGATCTCGAGTGTGTACTGTTGGCCCCACTGGTACTATCCTGTCCAATCTCCCCCTTCTCCTCCTGCTCATCATCCTCATCTCTCCCGATGTCTCCTGCTCCTCCTCCTCCCCCTCCTCCTCCTCTTCCTCCTCCTCCTTCTCTCCCTCCTCCTCCTGCCCCTCCTCCTCTTCCTCCTCCTCCTCCTCCTCTTCATCATCATCATCATCATCATCATCATCATCATCATCATCATCATCATCATCATCATCATCATCCCCCTCATCCTCTTCCTCCTCCTCCTCCTCTTCCTCCTCCTCCTTTTCCTCCTTCTCCTCATCACCAGCATCATCAGCAGCATCAGCATCAGCATCAGCATCTGCATCAGCATCATCACCATCATTATCATCATCATCATCATCATCATCATCATCATCATCATCATCATCATCATCATCATCATCATCATCATCATCATCATCATCATCATCCTTATTATCATCATTATTATCATCATCAGCATCATCATCATCCCCCTCCCACTCCTTCTCCTCCTCCTCCTCCTCCTTCTCTCCTCCTCCTCCTCCCCCTCCTCCTCCTCCTCCTTCTCCTCCTCCTACTCCTCCTCCTCCTCCTCCTCCTCCTCCTCCTCCGGTCAGCAGCTCGATCCTCCTCTTTCCTCCTCCCCCCCCCCTGCCTCGATCCCCG